ACACGCCCGTAGCTCCTTCCCGGCTGCGCCGGGGCCGAGGATGGGGAAGGGAGGGGGTTTGGCCGGAGTCCCCGTGGGTGTCCCGGCTGCGCTGCTCCTCACCCGCCCTCCCTTCTGCCTTGCCCAAAGGCAGGGCCCCCTCCCCGGCCAAGGGGATGCTCCTCCCAGGAGCATGCCAGGGCCTGCGGTGCTGCCCTCCCTGCCTGAGCATCATCAGGCCTCAAAGGGGAAAGTTTCTCCCAAGTCAGCTTTTGGGGCCAGGTCGCGCCGGTCTGAGTGCGGTCATCTCTTCCCCAGGTAGGAGCGACTGCTGCAAACAGCACTGGGTGAGCAGCCAGGGCCCAGTTTAAAGGTGGTGTAGTTCAGCAGTAACACTGCCTCGTTATTTTTTAGGTGGTGATGCTGCTGATGCTCACAGCCTGAGGGGAGACGATCTGTACCCTGCATCTTTGCGTTGCCCCTGCCTCCCCAAGGAAAGGATTATGTTCCCCAGAGCAGGGCAAGGTGAGCATCCCCGACTCATGCTCACATCTTTACTCTCTCCACAGAAACTGGAGACCTGAAACGAATTTGAGATGAGCCTGTGACCTTTGGAAAAGCCTCATCACATCCATAGCATACGAGGAGCTGGAGATGGATTTGACACACAGCCCTACTGGTCCTGCCCAGCCCTACTGTCCCTCCCCAGGGACAAGCCCCAGCTCTGGCCACCCCTGCAGCTCCCCAGTGACAGATCATTCAGGAGGAATCTCAGAATAAATCACCAGGGAATATCTTCCACTGGCAAATGGAAATGCTCCAGCAACAGGGCCCTGCTGGTAGCCTGAGAGTTCAGCAGTGAGTAGCTGGTCTCCCCCTCAGAAGATGGAGAAGAGATATGAGCTCTGCTTGCGAAACAGGAGCGAGGGGGCTGCATGGGGCAAGGGGGACAGACACACATAGAGACAAGGGCACTGTGCAGTCAACCAGTTAATTCCATTTTATTGTTTCCAATACAAATAAAGTCCTGCTTTCCAGCAAGGGTCCCATGGTGTAAGGCTTTTGGCCTGGAACATCTGCCTCTGTTTACAAAATCCCTGACCTCAAAAACAACTACCCTATGCTGTTCTGTAATGGCACTTTGGTTATCTGGGCTTTAATGAATCTTTATGAACAAGGCAGAGCACATCCCTCTACAGATCAAGAAAATCCTCTTTAAGTCTTCAAATCCCATTAACAAAATGACTGTACAAACAACGTGACCAATACATGCTGTCCCACACTGCTGCCTGCAGGGAAAACCCAAGCAAAGTCTAGTTCCTCCCAAGCACAGCTTAAACATCTCCCTGTTCAGGAGCCATGAATACATGTGGCAACGCTGATGCAGAGTGGGATGACTCTGGCAGATCTTCTGAGCCTGGGGTTTCCTCCTCGTATTTATTGCATGTCCCTCTGTCCTGGAGCCATCTTTTGAGGGTGAGAGTATTAGAAAGCAATCTGTACAGAATCAATATGGAATTAAATGGAAAAGAGGTATTGGTTTAATACCAAAAAAAGGGAAAAGAAGAGAAAACAGAATGAGACATGAAGTATGAACACTGCCAGAAGGCAGAAGCTACTCGTCCCAGGGAGATGCTTCTCAGGCTTTATCTTTTCAGGCTGAGACGCTTCTCAGGGCTTTATCTTTGCTGGGCACAATCGAGAGGCAGGGAGGGAGGACAGCAGGTTATATCCACTCCTGTCAGCACAAGACAAAACCAAAACTTTTAAAGACAAACAGCAACCTTTAACAAAACACAAAGGACAGAGACAACAACCAGGAGTGGCAGATCAACACCTGAGAGGCTTAGAGAACCTAAACACCAGTCTGCAAAGCCTTCCAAAAAACCATTCCTCATTCTGCTTAGGAAAATCAGGAGGAAAAGGATGGCCAGCCATCCCAGATAGTGCCTAAGCCTTGCGCTTCTTCACAGCTGGCTCTCCCTCCTTCCCCAGCCACTGATGCATGATATCCACGCTGGTTTTCTTGGGCGAAGGGTTGTGGATGAACTGACTTGTCCACCTGGGCAAGTCATTTTCTTTCTTCTGGGGAGAGCCCTCCTGGGAGTTTTTTAACCAGCCCAGCATCATTTTGCTGCTTGGGGTGTCTTTGACCTCCTGGAGAGACAAAAGACAGCGTGGGAAAAGTCAGAAGTACGGCAAGAGCAGGGCAGGCAGCTGACTGCGAGAGCTGTTCCAGAGCGGGCTGTGGAGGCTGGAGCAACAGCCCTGCCTTTAATCAGGTACATCTGCAGGAGATTCCCTGGGCTGCTGCGAACAGGCTTGTTCCAAGCCCCATTTCACATGGAATTTGCCTCATTTGGCAGAGAAATCCTGGCACGGGGTGACAGTTTATTTCTGGAAGTGGAGGGAAGGGAATCTGTTCGGGGCTCTGCACTCCAGCATCCAGCACAGGCATGCCCTGCAGACGCTGCCTGCTGCTGCCCCTCCTGCAGCCTGGCAGCACTGTCCCTGCTCAGGGATGTCACTGTGACCAAGCTCTCCCCTGCCAAGCCCCTGCCAGCACTCACCTTCTTGGCTCCCAGCTCGATGGGTGTGAGACACTCGGGTGTGTTGTTGTGGATGCTATTGACAAAGGTGGACACTGGGTGGAAAACAATGTTCTCTGTGGGCTGGATGAGTTTAACCGCTTCTTGTGTTGGCACTTCAGCAAAGTCCAGCCATTTCCTGATGGCCTCATCCCCGTCCAGGATGGCTGGCATCCTAGGGGACAAGACAGTCAGAGCCAAAGCCCAGCAATGATATGGCAGAGCACGGTGACAAAAGACAGGCTCGTAAGCTAGCAAGCAGCTGGCAGCTTCAGGGGAAACAGGAGTAAAACCGAAGCAGCAGGATGCTCTTCCACAAGACAGAGAGTGCATTCGCTTTGCCCCAGTAGCTGCTTCACTGGAACAGGCAGAGGGGTTGACTGCCAAGCTCCAGTCAGGCAGAGCACAGTCCAACTCTGCCACCCACCAGGGCACAAAGATGGTGATTTATGAAAAGGGATGAACCAGTGACCCAAAACAAGCCAGTAATATTGTAGTGTTTTTCTCTGAGGGCATCAGGAGGAAGGAGGATTCCCTGCCTGTGTGCTGCCAGACTGGTGTTTAAAGGTGCAGCTTTCCTTCCTCGCCCTGCCACCAACCCTGCAGCACCCTTGTCTGCTCACTTGCCTGTGATGGATGAAGCTCACATCCTTGGAGGCATCCACGGTGATGATGGTGTAAGTGTACAGCATTTCCCCTCCCGACGGTGGCTCCCAGCAGTCGAAAATCCCAGCCATGGTGAGCAACCTCCATCCTCTCCACTCCTCATCACCCTCCTTCCCCTCATCCTGCAAGGGAGAGGCCCCATCGCCCCAGTCAGTGCCGACCCATGGGCAGCTGCAGCATCGCAGACTTGCCAGTGCTGCAGCGGGTCAATGACTCACATCTAAGTCATGAACTGCACTGATTTGAGGGCTCTCCAGGAGCCCTGCTACTAATCTGAGGTAACTCCAGATGAGGTACTGGGAGCCTCATCGTTGTGCAGGTAAACCAGCACCCTCCTTCCCTTCTGCACATGCTGGCCAAAGGAAAGAGGTAGTGAAACTCCTAGCACAGTCCCCTGTGAGATGCATCACCCACTCATGCAAATATTCAGCATGTGGGGAGCAGCAAGCATGACGCCGGGGACGCTGCAGCACCGATTGTATCCAAGGACCACAGTGGGAGGGACTGCTGGCCAGAGGGATGTCAGAGTGCTGAGCCCACCGCAGAACAAAGCCCCGTTGGGAAAGAGAAACCCCCAGAGATGAGCATGGCTGGAGGGAAGGGGGTTCTCCCAGGGCAGATGGAGGGAGCTGAAGCTCAGAACTGGGGCGTGTTCAGACATGGCAAGGGACTCTACGTACCATGGTGTCCTTGGTCTGGGGGAAGTAAATGAAATACGGCTGCTTCCCCCCACTCTGCTGCTGCCACTCATAGAAGCCATCTGCCAGGACCACACAGCGTTTGCCCTTGAGCAGAGCACCCTGGGGGAGAGAAAGTACAAGTGAGCGATGAAGAGCAGCCTTGGGCAGCCTGCAAGGGAGGATGGGGTCTCCTGGGACCACCCAGCCTGCTCGCTCCCTCTCAGGGTTCCCCTAAACTGCCCCGCAGGGTACATAAACGCCACCACCAGCTCTGTGATGAAAGATAAGCTTCACCAGCAACTACCTTTTCCGTTCTATTTTAACAAAATCTGCTAGCTCTGCAGTACAGGGACCTACTCCCTTGTGCCACAGGCAAACGGTGATCGGTACTCTCTAGGGAGGTGTTTCAGCTCTGGTTTTGCCGACTGCAAGATCTCTTCAAGCTGAACACAAAGGCAGCAGTCACTCACCTTGTAGGAAGACTTCTTCAGCATGGTGTCACTGCGGCAGTTGGAGGTATTAAACTGCATCTTGGAGGGGTCGTCCTTTTTGAACCAGGAGGGAACCAGGCCCCAGCGCATGTCCATGAGGACCCGCTCAGAGGAGTCTGCATCCTTTTGAATGAGACAGAAAAACACCCCGGGTCAGAGCCACGTTGCAGGGGTGTGGGGAGCATCCCCACAGCTCGAGAGAGGGGCTTCACGGAGCCCTGTGGAAGTGGGTTTTCCCCCTGCATGGGGGGAACAGGCTGGTGTCTCTGCTGAGAGTGGAGATGGGGCTCACAGCCCCTCCAGCACCAAATCTGCTTCTGCTCTGCTGCAGGGATGCCACTCACAAGCTATGCAGAAACAGCCACTAACTATAACCCTCTGCATACTCTTAACAGCTTTCCTGTAAGAATTAATCTTCAGCAGAAAGCACAAGAATATTTTGCAGAAATAATTGTGTCAGTGAGGCTCAGCAGACAACTCTCCGGAGGAATAAATGCAGTTTTACTTCAACAGGCAGTGCCTGGGTACACAAACTCCCCAGCTCTTAAGTAAAAAAACAATGTCAGGCTGGTGTTAAGGTCCTCAAAACGTCTGTTCCTCTTCACAGCGAGCGTGCCACAGGGTGTAAGCATCACCTTCATTTTAATAACGTGATTTTTGTTGTCCTGGTTCACTTTCACTCCTTGTGCTTTGCATACCGTCTGCCTTCGGACAATGGAAAGGGCTTGTGGCTTTCACTTCTCCCCCAGCTCGCTCTCGCTTTCTGCCCGCAGCTGCCACACCTGGGCGAGCAGGCCCCGGTGCCACGGGCGGCTGCTCCCAAAGAACTGCACTACTTATACAGATATACACACCTACTATAGGTGCATCTATATAGGGACACGGATGTGCCCAGTTTCGTGGGGTCTTCCAGAGCCTCCCACAGATGAGAAGTGGCAAAAAGGGACACCTCAGGCTGTGTCCCTGTCCCAGTGACTTGACGACGGACAGACAACCCAGCATGTGGCTGCCTGGGACCTGCCTCATGCCCCCAACCTCGTGTTCCCCCACTCCACCAGCTTGACAACTGCTCTCAGGGATGTGGGACCCCAAGGCAGGAAAGGAGGGCACGAGGATGCCCAAGGGCATCGCCCATGGCACTTCGAAGCGGCCCCACCGAGGCATCCCACCCCCTCCCCTATGCTGGTAAGGGCTGTGAAGCGCAGCAGCCCCTTGGGCTGCCCGTTTGGCCAGGGCAGGAGGAACGGAGGGGTCCAGGCTGGGGTGTTTCAGTTCAGCACACCCCGCTTCACCCCGCTGAACACCAACGAGCAGCAGCTCGCTGGGCACCCTCTTATGCAGAAACCAAACGGGATGCACACACAGTTGTACAGGTTGCTCAGGTTGTTTGGGGAAGGTCTGGTGAGGCTTAAATTAGCCGGGATAACGGTCACCACAGGTGTACAGTTATTTTACAGCTCTATAGTTGAGGATTTTTATTTTTTTTTCCCCCCACTACCCTCCCCTAGCAATGAGACCTGGGCACTCTCGGCAGTGTTATGAAACGAAAAAAAGCCTCAGGAAAGCAGAACAAACCCAGCAGAGTAATTATAGGCATTTGGGAAAGTTTTCTACCGCAGTTAATCACTTGCATATGATCCTTTTGCAGAAAATACAACACTACACTGGAAGCATGGTACCGACTCCCCGCCCTCCTCAGGAACACGTCAATAGAGCAGCGAGAGACACCTTTGCAATTAGAACATTCAACACCTGCCCGCGGGCACTGAGCGCGGAGAGGCCACGCTACAGTCCAGGGGGTACCCCCGGGGCACAACCCCGTCCCCCCCGCCCGCGGCTTCA